TTTTCTGAATACTTACAGTTTTCACCAGAATATTTTTATGAAAAAGTCATATCACATACAAAAATACTGTCCCCTTTGAAATGTGAGTTCTCTTTGCATACTTCATCTAGTAAAGGAAATACCAGTATAATTTGGTAACAGGAGCAGAATAATGTATTTTGCCCAGAATACCTGAGAAAAAAAGCAAACCGACTGGGCTAACCAAAAAAATTCAGCCTGAGGCAAACACCTACCATGCACATTTTTAGATCTAATACTTAAAGTTTGACAAAATTTAAAGAGAATCTTCTTTTGAGACAACCAGAACAATAATTTTGCCTATATTAATATCTATTATCTTCTATGTGATTGAGAATCTTGCAATTTTAACGGACCAGACACTTTAGATGTAAGTATGTACTCTTAAATGCAGAACACATGACGGGGAGAGGAGGGGCAAGCACTGATCTCTTCTCTGTGGTGACCAGTGACAGGATGTGAGGAAATGACCTGAAGTTGTGTCAGGGCAGGTTTAGGTTGGATATTAGAAGAAGATTCTTTACCCAGAGGGTGATTGGGCACTGGAACAGGTTCCCCAGGGAAGTGGTCACAGCACCAAACCTGACAGAGTTCAAGAAGTGTTTGGACAATACTCTCAGGCACATGGTGTGACTCTTGGTGATGGTCCTGTGCAGGGCCAGGAGTTGCATTCAATGATCCTTGTGGGTCCTTCCAACTCAGCATGTTCTGTGATTATGAATAATTATAATTTTGCTTAAAAAATAACATTCATAGAGGGTCTTTGCATTCTCAGGTGTAAAGGAGGAACAGTTGTATCGAGATCAATTGGATCTCACAATTTAAAGACAGCTAAGAGGGGAGTTAGGTTTCTATCATAACCCAATATGATGCTAGCATGATGCTGGCTAAAACTGGCAATAGAAGTAGTTCAAGTAGTATGTTATTGACAGAGAAAAAGCATCAGGACTGAGTTCCAGATGCTGTTCACTTTGTGTTCTTAATGGGGCCACATGCCATTTGACATTTAAACAAGTAAACGACCCTAGTTTTGGGTTCATTGTGAAATATGTCTGCAATTTGTGTTGGTCTAGCCCGATGCAGCTAGACTCTAATAAAAGATAAGCAGGGGAAAATTTTGGGTTCTTATGAACTGCCAGACAACAGAAGTAAAAAGTGTTCTGATCTAAATAAGATGCAGTTACTTCTTACTACGTGGTATTTTCTTTCAGTTTAACTTTTTTTAGGGAATCCAAACATAGTGATAGAATCAATTAATGAGGGCCTAGAAACAATGCCACTGGAATAATGAATGGGTCTCAGTTTCAAATAGTATCATATGTTTTTTAATCCAGTTTGATCCCTCAAATAAGAAATTACAGATTAAGATATTAGCTTGATTTCAATCATATTACTGCAAGTCGGGCATGAATTGAATGAAGTATCTAGATGTATCATAATAAAAAACTTAAAGTTGAGAACAGAATAAGGTACCCCGAATCATAAGGTTCCTTTCTTATAAGATAGCAATGTCAGCTAGTTCACACCTCCTTTTCCCAAATTTCTGCTGATATTATTGATGATATAGTGCCACATATAAAGGAGGTATTAAATGACCACGGAGTCACATATGTTCCCCCTCTGCTGTGAGTCACAGAGGGGAGCCATAACGCAAGGGAAATGACAGTGAAGCCCCAAAGCAGAAGAATGGTGAGGGCAACCCCTTGAGAACATCACTGGTCCTCTCCAGCAACTTCCAAAGGTGTCTCCCCAGCAAAGCCATTTATTCACTGCTTCTGTGTTTGCAGGATGAGGACTAGGACAGGATACTTGCTGCATAAATTGTCCGCTACCATCAGCCTGTATCAGCTGCAGCCAAGGCAGATTCAAGGACAACAGAAACAAGGATCCCGGGGTTTCCTTTCCTTTTGAATCCCCAAAATCCAGAGTTTGCTTGTCTTTCGATTTCCTTTTTCCTTCAGTCCTGCTCCCACAGCAAGGTAAACATCAAAACCAAAGTAAATCTCATATAAATACTTGGCTGCTGTTCATATTCCTACACTGGAGATGGGTGCTGTTACCTTCTCTGCCAGCATTTGGCTTGATGTGTTCAAAATATTTAGGAAACAGCTTGTTTCTCAAACAGTGAAAAAAAAGCACTGGAAAAAAGGAGATAGCAACAATACCATATGTTTAACTCATACATGCCATGCCTTCTTAAGTCTCTACAGCTGACAAAAAATATAAAAGATAAGGAAAAGCTAATAACTGTCTAATAAGGCTAATAAAAGTCTGTTATATAACTGCAAAGAGGATCTACAGGATCAGTATGGGTGTCTGTAGAGACAGGGACATCATGGCAAAGCCTATGAAAACTGCTTTTTGGGCTAAACATTACTTGTGATTTTTTTTTTTTAAATCATTGCCTCAGCCAAGGGTCTGCTGTTGACTCAGGGATTTGCTTGGTCTCTCCTATGTTAGTGTGCCCATCATTTTATTCTAAGATTGCAGGCAACGTTATTTGATCAAGTTGTTACTTTCTCATAGACCTGTATTTCTGACTGTATGCATAAATGTTATTTATATTGCAATTAACATTGTAAAGATAATAAATGTGTGCTTTAGACTTCATTATGTTAGGCACAATAAAGTGTTTTTGCAATATGAGATACATTTTGAAATGTGGTACTTACAACGGTATCAGCTTTAGTGAACTTGTAATTTTGAAATGAGAAACATTAGCAAAGACTGTACTGGACACCAGCCATTATAAACTGCTAGTTTCTCAATAAATATGACAATTTTCAAATAGCCAAATCTCAAAACTTTTGAATGTTTTTGATTCTCTCAAGACAAGAAACTGGATAGCCACTCAACTGAATAACCACCAATCCCTTTCACTGTTCACTGGTAAATGCTTTCATATGTTCCCCCAGACACCATTTTCCTTATCACAACAACATATCTGGCAATTATTTTAGCTTTTGACAAAAAACGGTGTTTTGATAATCCAAAAATTGTTTTCTACTTGTTTTTCTAGGGCTGAAGCAGGTTGTTTTACTAAAATGTCCTAGGTTGCTATGCTTTGCCCTTCTTTCACCTGCATTTTTTTCAGACCCCAGAATGGTATCAAAAAAGTAATATTTGAAAAGAGTTGAATTAAAGGAAGGCAAGCAGAAAAAGACAGATTTCAGGAAAAAAAAAATTGTTAAAATAGGAGGAAAGGAGCTCTGGCACTTAGAAAAGGTTCTTCACGCTGGAAAACATATTTGAGTTGATATTTTTTTATTTTTCCATTGAGTTTTTCTACCTTCCCTCATGTTATTTCTAATATACATTGACAGAACAGAAAATATTATGTACAAAGACCTGTTTTAATATTTTACAGACTCATTTACAAAGATGCAGCATACTCGCAGCTTCCATGGAATCTAATGGGACTTGTGGAAACTCAGTATTTCCGAAAATCAGGCCATTAATTTTGAAAATGTGCATTAATTATTCTCTAGGCTGTAATAGCTCACTTGATATTACTATAATCTACATTCTCTTGAAAAAGTGTATTTTTCACCTGGTACGCTGCGCTTGCTCCTAAAGAGCAGTCATATCTTATCATGTAAAAGCTTCTTTATAACTGATCCAATTATTGACCTGTGGCATTGACCTTAATGAAATGTAATATTTCCAAAGGAATGGTACAATCCATTGTGTTAATCTGGGTGACAGGCATACTCTTGAAGGCTTCATGCTAACAATAGCTATAGAATTTATCGAAATAATTAACTTGATGAAACACAAACCCGTATATTTCCACTAAGCAATGAATTAGGTGTTTTAAATTTCCATTTTCTACATTACAACTAGACTAAAGTATGCAGCAGTATTTGCAGAATTTGCCAAAAAACATCGCTCTTTTCAAAAACATTCGGTGTTGGTAGACTTTCAGATCTCTCTAAACAGCTTCCTTCTAGACCAAGACCTGCCACACTGTCTTTATGAGTTCCAAATACTTGTAGATTTAGGAAAAACTGATATTATTCTTAACCATGGATTGTAACAATAATTACTGTTAGCAAATAGCAAAAGCCTATCAGGTAAGTGCTCCCACTTGGAATAATTTCAGTTAGGATCCTTTGCAGTGAATGCAATTTCTAGGATAAATGTTATCTTTTCTGTGATATATAAAAATCCTTTTTTTAAGTAGTGTCACTCTCAGCTACCACATTTGATGCAATTTAGTGCTGTTAGATGCTTTCTTGTCATGTGGTTATAGCCGGGTAGATTAATAGGAACTTCTATATGGAAATTTCTTTCCTGTTATTGTTCTCCCTGAGCAGTTGATGGCTAAGTTAATTCTCTTTAGTTTTGTCATGCACTAAAGCACACATTGCCAAGCTATGATAAGCTTTACACAGGGAAAAAAAAGCCCTTGTGTCCATCAAAGTCTTAAACTTGCATTTTAAACTTTGGCCTGACCTGATGTGCCATTTAAAAAGCTTCAAAAGATTATTTTTTTAAGAAAGGTTCAATATGTCCCGAGGCTATCGGTTTTGAGTTAAACTGGGTGAAGTAGAAATATTTTACTCATCAGCTTTGCAGTCACAGAGTTTGCCTCAGCTAGAACAAAACTGCTGAGGCATTTAGAGAAAATTAACCCCCCATCCTGGCAGCCAGATGTGACTGGTTTCTGATGAATGCACATGAGTGGGCTGAAAAACCAAGAGACTGTGAAATTCCTGTCAGGTCCGTACAGCGCAGAATGGGCTATTGACTGCTTTCTATATTTCCCTCCATCATTCTTCTTGAACGCTGCCATTAATTTCCTCTCCTGCTCTGACTTGGGAATTTAATTTTTTTCCTGTTTTTTTTATTTTCCCCTCCTTCCTCCCCCCACCTTCTTGCCTTTTCCTCCTGCCCCAGCCCCCCCATTGCTGTTGCCATGGCCATTGGTGTTGGCGTTGCCGCTTTTGGCGTTGGCGTGGCTGTTGGCGTTGCTGTCCCAGCTGCAGGCGCTACAGAGGCGGTGGAGCAGGGACTCACTGGCGGCGTGGTGGAGCCGGAGCGGCCTCTCCAGCCACGCTGGGCTGGCGAGGATCCAGGCAGCCTCTCAGGAGAACGCTCAGAAAATATTAGCTGTGCAGGTAGGTGATTGCAGGGAAGTCGGAAAGATCATTCTGATCTAGATTGAAAAGCAAATGATGGGTAGTGTGATGAAGCATTAAAACCATATCCCATCAGAGTTTTATAAATTTTTAACCTCTTTAATAAACTGGAATTGCATGAAGGATGAATTCAGTAAGTTAGCACATATACCATGCATAGATTGAAAAAAGAGGGGGAGATTAGATTTATTTCTCACAAACCTTTGAGAAGATTATTATAAATACATTGAATATAAATATTTGAAACACAGAGTGGCATTGCTATTGCTGCTCAGTTGTTTTAGAAGATGTTATTGTGTCCTGTTTTGTGCAAATATTATTTCTGTGGTAAACAATGTTGTCATTTTCACTGCACTGGTATTTAATTTCTTTAGAAGGAGACTATTTTTTAGAAGTATTATACCTTCCTAACTCAGTTATATGGTGATTTTCCCTTATTTGTAAAAAAGAAACATTATGGGGATATGAGATTTAAAAATGCTTTCCGACGATGTGTGGTTTCTCATTTTATGTCTTGTTTCCCAGAAAAATATATTTACTGGGGAAAATAACTACTATGCAGTAGAGCTGGAATGTTCTTGGTTTTTTTGTCTTGTGCTACAATATCTTATTTATATTTCTGTAAAGCCACTCCTTTCAATCTCTTCCCATAGTTAATGGCCATAACCAGATGGCATTTTTGAAGGGTTTTTAAAAGACTTAAGTGAAATATTTCTTCAGACTTACTCCTTGCAAAAGAAGTTACATTGCTGATGCAGCTGTAGTGCAGCATATTCTTGCAAACTTTGTTGTCTAATTTGTAACAGTCAAGATTTGTTGTATGATTGCGGAAACAATTTTATTACATTTTAATACTAGGTACTTATACTTTTCAGTTAATATCTGATGCATTAAAGTAAAATCTAACATGAATAAGTTCTAGAATACCATTAAATTGCATCAACATCATGATCTCTTTTCAGTATTTCACTAAGAGGATTTTTGTTTCAGAATTTCAAATTTCCACATATGTTCTACGGAATAGTGTATGTTCTACTATATTTGTTCTACTTAGGTAAAAGATTTAGAAAATTCTAATCATATTAAAATCAGAAAGTCAAGAAAAATAATTAATATAAAAATATAATAAGATTTTGTACATTAGTAATTATTTTTAATACTCTTTATGGAATACTATGGAATTTTGGGATTGTCGTATGTGCTAAATATTGCACTGACCTCTGTGCCAGTGAAAACACTTTTTTTCATTCAAATTCCTCATTTAGCATTTGAAAAACTGGACGAGCTCCTTTTCTATTTTTTGCAGGGCGATATCTGGGATGATTTCTGTACTCTCCTGTGTTCGATTACTCCAATAGTGAGTAGATGAACAGGATGACCTAAGTGGAGCTCAAAGCTCATGAAGAACAATAGCAGTGATGCAGAAGCCACAGGTGGCAGTTGGTTTCCTCACACACAAATCTCTACATTAATCTAATGTTGTGCAATATTTTAATAGCTGTACTGCAAACCTCATACGCAATTGAACTCCCCTGTCAACAACTAGTCCATGTGACAGTGAGTAAGTTTTGCAGAAAACCTTCACCTTAGCATACGTTTTTCCATGCATGCTGTTCACGCTGAGAAGCTGTGTCTGTAAATCTTGTCACCCCGAATAACTCGACTATCTAGAAATGGGCCTAGACTAAGCTATTACGTGTAACTCCCAGCAGCATTTGGTGGTGTTCAGATCTGAGTAACTCAGGCCTTCCAAAGACAACGTCTTGTTCAAAACATTGAAAACTTTCTGTTCCCTATCTGCCTTCATTATCCATGACACCCTTTTCTGATATTCTAATACTTTTCAGGTATTCTGATAACCTTGCTACATTTTTATGCAGTTTGACTGATAATAACTTACAACTAAAATAATGAACAAGGAAAAAAATAAAATTAAAATGGAAAGCAGTTCAGCTAAGAGCAATTGCAAAGGTGTGTAGAAGATTCTTTCTCTTCAGCGAGGTGATCTTTTTATATTTCAGAGGTCTTGGCAGTGGTTTAATTGTATGTGGAACTGATGCCTTTGTAAATCTTTGTTATTGTCAAATCAATCTTGATCAATCAATTGACAGAAGAATTTCTGTCAATTAAGTTCTTATATTGATGACATTCAACATAGTGACACACACTTCCAAAATAAAATCCGACAGTTGTTCCTCTCCCTTCCTTTTCTCTCAGCCAGAAATATGCAGAATTTGTTGTTCCTAGTGACCACCCTACATCGAAGCATGAGGATGGGAACACACTGAGAAGTGTGTGGCAAAACAATGATTCCTGCTCACAAGAGCTTGTGTCCCAGCAGCTACCTTGACCAGAATAAGCAGGAGCAGGTGAATGACAGAAGAGTGCATTAGGAGAGGCAGTAGATACAGTACATTGGCTGCCTAAGTGTTTTCTAATATTTTACAGAAGCCGTGACCTGGGTGAGATCCAAAAAGAGACTTAAAAGTAGATAATGGAGGAGGTTTTGGACTTTTTACCATGTGCTTTTTAACAAGCAACACTCTCCAGTTATAGAGAGAGCAGAGTTTTGTGAGAATTGTGATGTGAAAATAAAGAGCTGTCTCAAACTGAAAGACAGATTTGACCAGAGTTTCATCATTACTTATCAACACTCATAATGTTTAGTGACATGAATAGATTTTTTTAAAAACAAAATGTGATTTTCATTTCTATTAGGCATCTTTTATTTCAATCAAAATTTTAAATATATATTTTCCTGAGTTTTATCACGATCTTTGTAGCCAGTTATCTTTTTCAATATTTAATATTTGCATTGGGAATAATTAACTGATTACTTAGTGTCTGTATGTTTTGTGAATGTGCTTCTGGCAGAAAAGGAAGTTTTAAAATTGAGCATTTAAATTGTGGTGTTAAAAATAGGGATTAGATATTCTTCCATATTAATAGCAAAGAATAAATATATTAGCAATCAAATCAAATGTTAGAGATCAATGACAGAAATTATTTATACTTCCACTTTTGGCTCTTCATCTATTTCATTTTTTTGCAGAGCAAAGTACAGGGCTGTTTCTAGAGCAAGATTATTTCATCTTCTGATGCTCGACCTTTTTTCTAACCCATTTCAAATTATAAAAATTTCTTCAAAGCAATCTGACTGCAACCAGTAGCAGAGAAAGATTACAATATAGAGATATTTTTTATTTGAGAGATAACGCTAAAAGTGTCTTAGAAATGCATGAGCACTGCTCTGTTCTTTTCATTCAGGGAAGTTTACATATATGCACAATGGCTCTGAAAAGAGACGTTGTTATTGTGGTAGTCAGAGAAAGATTTTTGTGCTCCATTATAGATGGACTTTTCAGGTAATTTACCATCACTGTCGGCACAGTTGGTATTCTATGGTTTGCTGGAGAATTTCAGTCTTCAAAAATTCTTCTACAATTATGAAATAAATTTTTAATCCAGCAAAAAATAATAAAAGTGATCTCTTTAATTTAAAAAAATTATAAAAATGTAAAATCTTTTGTCCCAAAAGTGTACAGGCAAGGTACTTGTTATGTTCATTACTTTTGCTTTTCCAATAGTGTTTTGGAGTTTCAATAACTTGGCTCTTGAGTAAGTTCAATTAGCTATCTAATTGCAAAAATGATATATGATGGCAGATGTAGCTTTATTTGGGACTGTGCCTGTGCTTTAATCCTGACACTCTTCAATTTAGACCATCCTTTAGATGATTTATCTTGACTATAGTTATGTCAGAATTATGTTGAGGCTACAAAAACAAATAGTATCATTGCTACTCTTATTGTGACTTTAAAACATTTCATGCTTACTTTTCCTGATGGTGGCATGACAAAGGTAACATTTTAATAAATGCAAGATTATTGGTTTAATTTTCAATGGATTGGCACCTTTGCACACCAGAATAGATAATCAGAATTTAGTGTCTGGAAACTCCTTAGTTGGTAGCAGTTACCATCAGGTAGGAATAGCTACATAAGGCACCAAGCATGGATGCAGTGTCTGTCACTCTGACTGCAAAATGCTGTGATTATTTATAAATTTTCTGCAGTTTAACTCAAGTTGCTTGATTATCCCGAAATCTTTAAAACATTTCAGCAAAGCTGTTGTAGCTCAAAATTCCATTGTACTGAACTACACCAGTTTACACTAGAAAAGGGTTTTGGTCTGTTTTGTTTTGTCTTTGTTTGAGCAATTTTGCAGAGGTCACCAGAGAAAGGAGTGACTGTTCTTTACTAAGGCTTTGAAACTTTGCTGAATCTACTGCAGTCAACCCAGTGGATACTGATTCTTAATGGAGGAAATATTTTACTGACTCTGCAGAATCTGTGGTTTTCATGAAACCCTGTTTCACCTCCTTACAAGAAAGACAGTGCTGTTCCACTAAGGCCAGGACCAACTGGAATCCTGCATGTTTCAAGCAGGTTTACCCTTTTGCTCTCTGAAAACCACACATTCTTAACTTGCTTCTTAGCTGTCAGGTGGTAGTCAATTTAAGTACATCTTTTTTTCTCTAACTTATTAACACAGGTGCGTTATGGTGTCCCTCAGGGCTGATGCTCTTCAAAATCTGTATACCTTCTCTTTTATTTTTCTCTGTTATGGGTTGAGTTATCACCATTTATGCTGATTGCACTCAGTTATGTCTTTTTTGCCTGCTGATTTCAGTTTAGCAGTCTTGCTGTTTCTGCCTTGTCTTGGAGACATATGGGGTTGGATGACAGATAATGTTTCTTAAGGGGACATGGCTGCACACCTTTTAATTAGTTCTAAGCTTTTGTGTTTAGTCACATTTTTTCATAGTAATCATTTAAAATGTTGAAGTTAAAATTTGCTGGGTTTATTATTCATTTATAAAATATTTATCTTGTACAGTGCAGAGGAATTGAGACCAGCTTCTGCTCCTGGAGGTAATGCTTATGGGTTGAAAAATGTGTTATTTAGTTAATCGAGTT